ATCCACTAAAATTTTATTGTAGTAAGATCCCCTGACTCTGCCTACTAAGGCGCAGTTCCGCGCGGTCGCGAATTCCTTAAACGTTGGGTCCCGCCACTATTGAGTCGCTGGTACATAGTTCGACTCGCTGGTACAAGTTCGATTCGCTGGTGCAACGTTCGATTCGCTGGCGCAACGCTCGGATCGAGCGATTCGCTAGCGAATCGCTCGATTCGCAAACTATGACATCGGCCTAATTCTCTTTACTGTGTTGTTGATGTTGTTCGAGGTACATCATGTTTCCTATTCAGTTCCACCCTACCAAGCAAGTCTGCTATATAGCAGAAATCATGATGTAACCTCACTCACCCATCTGGATTCATCGTGGGCAGTAAATGTATTCGTGTAGTATCAACGAGATTTTGAATCCACCCATTGGAGCGATAGTTGTGAAGTAGGGTCCATGCCAGACCAAGAAGAAAAACGCGACCCGATACCTGAATGATTGTGCTTCTAATAGCTGTTTGCCATTTGGTCATGCTGTGCGACTTGATCGTTTCGCACGTGGAGTGACCAATCAATACAGATACCCGCTATAATAATGTTCGTCGTCCCAACTGATAAGAATGAAAAGATAGAGCCTTGATCGATCCTTTACTTTGCTGTGTTGCAAAATAGTTGTCATACGAGTGGGCTTCGCGAGTATTTTTATTTCATGGTTTATGCTTTTGGGGTGGTGTAATCGGAAGTCATTTTCCACATGCTCGTGGTGTTTGAACATATAGAGGCACATCCGACGATGAATTCAGATTGATCAATCCCTCAAGCAGATGGGGTAGAGCACTCTACTAGAGTCGGAGTGTCTCGTCTCTTGGCTTGTGCGGCAAGAGCGTCAAGACCTTCAGAGACCGCTTCGATCACCTCCACTTTCCTCGCTGGCAACATTCGGGTGTCTGCTGTCTCTCCTATTTCGCTTAGCATGTTTCTTTAGCGCTCAGTTTCTCACTGCACTATTACAGCCGAATCACAATTATGAGTAGGGCCTCAACTTTAGCGTATTTTAGCGTAGCGGACTCTTTTCTTTTTTCGCTAGCGGTCCACTTGGCTCCATGCTTTCGTTTTTAGAACCACACAACTCGAATACACGTTTGATAAGAAAGCTCGTTTAATGAGAAAGCACAAATAGACGGCTAATACATTGGTCTGATTTTTCGACACACTTGGCGTAACCACAGACACCTCGCCGTGGGGTGCCTCCTAAGCAGGGTCGTCCTATCGTTGTTACTTTTCGAAAAATTTTTACGACCCCCCTCCCCCAAGGTGGATTTGACGACCCCCTTTTCGACACCTCGACCACCATCATCGTCTCTATAGTATTAATTCTGATACCACTCAACCCACCAAACTCCGCCCACTTTTTCCTCCAAAAATGCCGGCTGAAACGGCAAATTTTTATCCTGCGCGCCCTCCACTCGCCCAGCCTACTACCCACGAAATCTTAGTTTCACCTCAATCCCACACGTGATTTCGAGCGACTAAAGTGGGTACGACCCCCCCTCCTACAAACTCAACCAGGTACGACCCCCCCGTTGTTACTCGTAACAACGTAGGGTTGACCCTGCTCCAAGAGGCCCGTCGCGCGGCGAAGGAAGAAACGCAGACGCGGCAAAGGACGAGTCGCAGCGCATACTGTAGCGGTTAGGCGTCAGGTTAAATAGTGTGTACCATCCTACGTCTCATATCGCACAGCACACGCTGCGTCTCGTCCTTTGCCGCATCTG